GGCTCCGGCGGGGCCGGGCGGAGCCGATCTCTGGCTCGGCTGCAGGTTTTTTGCTGTAACTAAATTCACTAGAAACTGCTGAGTGAAGAAGGAGAGAGGCTCTGGACCTGCAGCGGGCTGGGCACGGCGTCTACACTCTCCAGAGCAGCCATGAGGAACTTTCCATCGCAGACGGCTCCAGCTCCTGCACCGGCCGAGGCCACAGAACTACCTACAACAGCCTGGGCAAGATTTTAACTCTTTCATTTCCCAGATGAGACTTGCGGATTAATCTTTTTATCCAGACAGAGAAAAAGAGAGTGATCAACATGAAAAGAGACTTTATAAACTACCAGGGACAGGAAAGAAAAGAAGCTTCAGAAAAGGTAGAGAATTAAGAAGATGCTTTAATTAAGCTGAAATATCTTTCTGTTAAAACTATGGAAATGGACAATAAGGTCTTGAAAACACTCCTTTAATTCATGACAGTAAATAGGGAGGAATAGAGTGTTCAAAGTGTAAATTTTGAGTAAAAAAGTAGAGTAATTATGGTACAGTGAAGTGCTGGAAGATTTGAAGCCTTGAGAGGCAATGAGAAAACTGTTTTCTAGTGAAGCTCACAGAAACAGATGAAGAAGACTTTTTGCCTTTGAATAACTTATCCTTAAAAATCCCATCCCTAGACTCATGGCCCATACACACTTGAGAGTGATGTGAAAATGGGAGGAGTGGGCTCTAATAACAGCAGCTCTGGGCAGCTAACATTAGAGCAATGGAAAACTATAACAAAAATAGTTTTTCTTGTGAGAAACTCCATAAATTAACAGGAAGAAACTTCTGATTCTCTATAAAGACTGGTGAAAAGACTGTAGCAAGAATTGGGACTGTTTTAACCATCAAAGTTCCAAAGTTTTTGTCTCTTTTGTCATGTGAACAAGGGAATAGTGGGTAGACAGGGGATGAAAAGGTTTTTCTGGAAGTTTATTCTGGTGTTCTTATTGTAGTTTGTCAATAAACTTTCTTTTTTTTTCCTTTTAAGTTTTATGCCTGTTTTGCTCTTGTTCTAATCCATATCTCACAGCAAGAAATAAGTAATTTTCTTAGTTATTGGTTTAAAACCACGACAGCGATAAACCTGACTGCAAAAAGCACGAGCATCCACAGCTCCTGCTGAGCTGATCAAACACTGTGGGTGCTCAGCATTGTTCCCACACAAGGTTCAACACAGCCATAACAGCTGTGGCTTCTTCTCTGTGCCTACATTCAGCAGGAGCCTCTTAGTCCCTTGTGGTTCCTCTGAGTGTGGTCTGAGCTCAGAGACTGCCTCCAGACATATCTGACATCAGGGGAGGGATACACCCATTAGTAAAGCTGTTTTCGGGAAGGAGGGGATTGGGCAGCATTTGGATTTGGCTTGAGAAAGGTCATCTTCTGTACAGACCTAAATGAAAAGCATGGACAATTTGGGCAAGGATTTCACTCTCCACTGCTTTCCAGCCTCAGTGCTTTTTTGAGTTAGGACTAACCAGGGAGGAAGAAGAGCAGGAGGAGGGAAACTGTGTTATCACAGCTCCACTGTGGTGAACTATGACTGCTGTGCAGATACTTACACCTCTGGGACTAGGAAAAAACCAGCAATTTCACAGTTTCAAACCTGGGTCATAAAATCATCAAAAGTAGTCATCATCCTAATTTTTTTGAGAGCGATGCCCTAGAGAGGCAAAGTCACAATGACAGACACCTAACCCACTTCCCTTCCCAGGAGCATCCTGTGTGCTACATACCTTCTGTGCTCTCTCACAAAATCAACCAGCTCCTCTTCGGAGTAGGGCTTATCGGGGATGTGAACAGGCTCATCCATAAAGGGTTCATAGAAGTCCACCTCGTTCATCTTTAGGCCTAGCTTCTTGGCAACCTGTTGCAGTGCAGAAGTCACAGGTGAGAGAGCCTGATGTGCCTCTTTGCCTATCCAGAGTCTTTGCTGGTGGCAGAGCTGGGATCAAGGTGCTTGCTCTCTCTCTCTGAGCATGCACTCCTAGGGGTGGCCCACAAAACATCTTTGTTTAAAAACTCACTGCTGCCCCCTACACTACTGGTGTCAAGCAGTGGGGCAGAGCAAAGCCACAGCCCAGGGCCTGCAGACCTGGAGGGGCTGGGTTCCAAACCCACATCAGGACCTGCCTCCATGCTGCAGCTCCTTTTGTCTTGTGACATGGCCAAAATATCAATGCAGACACCAACACCACAAAATCCAGGAATGCTGAAAATGAGAAGCTGAAACCAGACAATAAATCTGGGAACATCCTGAGCTCTCAGAAAACTGATGGTGGCGTATGTGAGCTACCATGAAGATGTGTGGATGCTTACCCCTTTGTCAAAGGTGGCAAAGAACTTGACATAGGGCTGGAATTGTTCAGCAGCTTCTTCAAATGCCTTGTAATCTGGAAGGAGAAAAGGGGAATGAAGAAGATATTTCACAGACAGCTGGCCACACTTGGATCAGCCCAGAAGGTACTGGGGAAGGACAAATACAAATTAGTAGTTTCACATCGCTCAGGGCATGGGACCAGCCTCTTCCCAGTGTTGGGGGTCAGCATGGAGGAACAGACCAATGCCAGGCTGCCCCAAAGGGCCCTGCTTACTGCTGCTGTTTGTTTGCCACAGTACTTTTTAATCCGTGTCCCCCTTTCCCTTCCCTCCTTCCGTCTTTGATCCTTTGCGCTCATTGCTCACAAGAAGGGGCGCTTTGCTCCTTTTAGTTGCTCTCTCAGTGCAACTGTAACCTCAGCTGATTTTTGGGTGAGGTTAACTCACTTTACTGCTGGAGCCTCTGGATTATGGCCGTCCTCTCTTGCCAGCAGACACCTTGCAGAAGGGTCAGCGATGTTAGGGTAGGACCCGGCTCATGCAATGCCAGCAGAATCTTGCCTGCAAATGCACTCATCCTCCAGCAATTTTCACTCTGTCACAGGCTGCCACATACCACAACACCCTTCATGTTCATGCAGAACAACAAGTGCCCGGCCCCTGGAGCTCCCAGGCAGGCTGCAAGGCCCAAGAGGAACACGTTTATCTTACGTTCTGAGTCTTCTCCCTTGAAGTAGCCGATGAGTTTGATTTCGTCGTCGATCTGGTCAAAGGCCTGAAGCTCCAGCTTGCTGTTTATGACCTCCACAGGGTCTTCTAGCAACTGCCATGACAAATGCATGTGGTAACACAGTGATTTGCAGCACCAACCTATGCCTGGCAGGGTATGCCACAAGCAACCTAAGCAGGGAGAAGGAGGTCACCCAGTTTCTCTGCTGTTGGAAACCTCTGCCTTAGCATGAGGAGCAGATGAGAAGCAGGTCACCTTCAAAGGGAGGTGTTAGTATGTTCACTGCAGAGGTGGAAGCATTGAGAGGGAGGCTGATAGAGGATGGAGTAACCCAAATGAATGCTGAAGGACCTACTGTGATGGGGGATAAGGAGTAGCAATTGCCCTGGCTTTAAGGAGGCCAAGAAGAAAGAAGAGCAGTTGAAAGGTGCCGGTATAATCATCTTGAAAATCTATGAATGATACTTGTGTATCTAAATCTATATATAGTTTTTTTCAAGTGTCATTTGCTGGAAGAGGTCATTGCAAAGACCTTGCTTTTGAAAAATGTAAAAACCAGCATGCTAGAGTGGTTTTGAGCAGTAGAAAGTCTGGATATGAATTTTCCTGGCTGATCCTCCTCCTATGCAAAATAGTTTAAACCTGTTCTTTGGTCCTACACACATCACAGTGTTAATGAGGAAGTTGGAAGACCTGTCTGTCACTTTAGACTGTCATTGATCCAAACTTTGTTGCCCTTTTCTTAACTAGTCACTGCTGGTGAGAAGGTTCAGTCTGATTATTTTGCCCAGCAATAGTAGTATAAATCAAGTGTGCTTTCACTTGAAGAAAAAAAAAAAAAAAAGCAGGCAAGCCACAGCCTACAGAGGAATAGAGAACCTCTGGGTTTATTTTTGTTTTCAGATCAGGCTGACAAGGCACCACAGACATGTCCAGTTTTATTTCCTTGCTTTGCCAGGTGTTTTCCTTCCTGAGTGGAAAACACAAAACCAGAAATCCTTGTTCTCTTTTTTCACAGAACATGATTTTTCAGTGACACACCAGATGGCATAGCAAGCAAAACCTCATGAAATACCTTACAGCATCCTTGAGAGCGATGTTACAATGTGAGGCTGTGCCTCTGTTGGGCCTGCAGCAGCATGTGCAGTTTCCTGCTGCCATAGTGGCCTGAGTCATGGGAACCTGGGATCCCACTGCTGCAGGGTCACGGCAAAGCTCTGCCCTGTTTGTAGCCCTTATGGGTGGGGCAGATGCCCATTTCTGTCCCTGAAGCCACTTGCATGCGTTGTGGTCACAATACCCAATGCATGCAGCCACAGACATCATCAAGGGAGAGCTGAGGTCCTAAGGATCTCTTTAATTCCCTGACCTCTCCTCACCAGCAGTCCTGAACCACAGGTGACTGTGTAGGCAACCTGCCACCCTGGGAAACAAACCCTGCCAGCTCTGCTGCTCACCTTACCTCCCTTATCTGCATTACTGCATGGCCACTTACAAAGAAAGCAAGCCTCACTTCAAAGGAAAGCCAAGCTGCTGCAAAATGTTTTCATTTATAAAGTGAAGACCATGGTTCTGGTCTGTTGCCTCTCCTAGGAATAAAATGCAAATAAAGTGCAACATGTAGGTGTGGGATTCAGCATCCCTTTTGCATTTAGGCACAAAGGTGATTACATCATTGTGCCCATGCACAAAATGACCCAAGAATGTTTAGTTCTAGGACCCTGATCTCCTCTCACTTGTGGCAGTGCAATTTGGCATGTTCACTGAAGAGATGCTATGTTGCTTGTGTCTAGAAATGGGCAAATAGTTTGCAACATAAGCCTTTTTCAATGTACTGAGCTCTTTTTAGTTGCTCTATGAGAATCCTACTTCTTGGATATTCCTATTTTGAAAACAGCTCTTAAAAAAAAAAAAAAGAAAAAGTGTGAAAGATTTTGCAAATGGCAGTGTTTGCACATGAGCTTGCTAACTGATGTGGGTGAACAGCAGTCAATTATATGGATCCTAGCTGACTTCCACTCAAATACTCTGTAAACAGGAAAGAGGGGAGGTTGCCTCTAAGATATAAAGTGATTAGTGGCATATAAGGGTACCACCTTTCCTGGGAACTCATGGTCAGATAGGTGTTGGGGAAGATGTCAAATGCCATCTCTACCAGTGAATAGCAAACAGGGATGAAATTTCAAACAAAGGTACATTTGGGTTTTTTGCAAACTAAGTATTTGAAGGGTCTTCTCCAAGAGGTTTTATCAAGCTCTGAGCTTATCTGTGCTTACATCCAAGAGGAATTCCACCAGGACATCTGCAGACAGTTCCCCATCAAACTCAACCAACCGCTCGTCCTTAAAGACATAGAGACTTCCCTCTTCAACCAAGCCTGAAAGAAGAAGAGGGGAAATAAATAAGTGGTTAACATGTTGTTGAGAGCATGTTTAGTGCAGAGTGTCTTGCTTGTTAGCCCAGCAATTCCTCCTGGGAAAATGCAGTTGCCTGTTTGCTGTGATGGTCTAGTTAGAAGATAACAACCTGAATAGTCCCCTGACTGATGTTTCATGACACAGGGGACAGACTTCAGTCAGAACTGGTGCCAACTTCTTCCCAAATGTTGAACTCCTCATTCAGGTCACAGTTTGGTCTCAGCTGGAAAAATTCTGCACCAGAACTTGTTTTTGCTTGGCTGTCTATCTTGCAGTAAATACTGGCCTGTAACTGACAGCTCAGATTTTGACAACCTGTGACTATATAGAAAAGGGATTTTGATTGTGGTTGTGCTCACTGTCCAGAGAAGGCTGAAAAATGTGAACGTCACCAGTGACCTGAAAGTGAGCTTCCAACTCTCTGAGGCTTAGCTGGCCTTGGCAAAAGGGTTAGAAACCAATGACAGAGATACTACAGACCGCAGAGTGACAGATTTCAATGCTATGTCGCTGGACTGAGGACTGAGTGCCACAGAACCTTGTTGAAGGCTCCAAAATCAATAGCACTATCCTCCTGCAATGCAGTATGGCAGGGTACCACTGGCCAAGGAGGTTTGTAGTTGGCTCCTTCTTGGAGATGAAGAAGCTCTTGTCTTCAGTTTAGCTCCCATTAGCACTCACAGCCTCTAATTTAGGGAAGAGAATTATAGTCTAGTATGCTTAAACCTTAGGTTTAGTGGTATATTTGTGTACCGTTGTACTAATGTGTCAGAGTGTTTCCGTATTGCTTTGCGGGCTAAAATATGAAGAGACTGCCAGCCCCTGGAAGGCAGCTGTGTCCAGGGGAGGGCAGTGGAGCAGCCTTCTACCTTCAGAGCAGATTTCCTTTTTCCTTGTTCTGGGGAACAAGTCAGAATGATTGGCACCTGACTGCCAAGCAAGGCTGTGGCTGCCCCAATTGTTGATGGGGGTCATTTTGTCATGGGGCTGATGATTTGGGGGACTGAGTGTTTTCCCCATATGTTCTAGTTCTGCACTGATGTGCTGGTCCTGTCCCTGCGTAGGAAGAGCAGGAAGTTACTCCACAGCATCTATTTACTATTTTTGTGCAGAAAGCTGTGAACTTACACCCTTTCATCATTACAGCATGAATTGCCTTTCTTTTTTGCTTGGTTTGATTTGTTTTGGCAAACAGACCCTTTTTCTGGAAGGGTCTTGGCTTGTCTCTCTCATCCTCACTCCCACCCTGATCTTGCCTCTGTTGGGAGGGCGGGTGGTCAGTGTGCAAGTGCCACCATCATCCTGGTAACAAGGATTTGGCTGTCCTCTATGGGGCTGCCTGTTGGACATCACTCCCACAGTCTCTCCAAGCTATTCCAGAGATGTCAGACCTGGGGCTCACCTAACTTCTTGGCAAGCTTGGCATCCTTCTTGGAGTCCACCATCCCAAAGCCAATGCTCCTGGGCTCCAGGACCTGAGCTGCCAGCTGTGGGAGGAAGCAGAGAGCCCAACATTAGTAGTGTTAACACCACAGGATAGCTAAAGGGCATCAGGCCCTGCTAGCATGACATGACAGACACAAGTGACCCATATTCTGCTGCTGAACAGCACCGATGGGTGGGATGTGTCACATGCTGCCTCTCTGCTGAGATAACCCAGAGGTCACAAGGGTTGGGTTTCTTCCCATTGTGCTCCAGCAGGGAGTTTGCTGGCACTACCATGTGCTGTTTACTGCTGTTTGACACCAGCCTCAGGAGAGGGCTCCTGAGTGAACTGGGGACCTCAAAGCAGGGAGAATGGCTGGAAGAAAGTCCTGTGCCACCAACACAAAGCACAACCTGTTTCTTCTGTGGTGCCTTGGTGGCCTCCTGCAGAGGGGTGTGATGTGGGTGCCATGGACATTTTAACTCCAGAAGTGCATGGTGCCAGGCAGCAGTGAGTGCAGGACTCCATAGCATCATGTTTTCTTCATGCATGTGATGGGGTGGCCAAAGCAGGCTCCTTTTCCTATGAAGTGCTTGAAGTCATGCCTCCTGTCCAGGCTTCAGTAAGCCCCCAGATCCTGGTCCCCTGTTTTTTACTAAGGAGATGCATCTAAGCCCAGGCATGCTTGTGTTCATCTTCTCACAGCTTTGCAAAACCACTGCACCCTGTTCCCACCATCTTTGACGAAGGGGCCTCTTGAAGATATCGAGTTCCTGCCTGTTTTGTGAAAATAGATATGTGAGGAAAGGAGAGACGCTCTGCAAGGGCCCTGTGGTGAGAGCGACCCCGGGTGAGACCCTGTGAATTCCAAACTGGTTCCTAGAGAGGCAGTGACCCTGGTTAAATGAATCCACTTACGCACTGTGTGACTGACAGCCCCACCACAAGCATACTAGAGACCCTACAAGGGAGTAATGATGCCCTGAGAACCACCAAGCAGCTGTAAGAGCCTCCTCCCTCTCCCTTCCTGCTGCACAAATGCCTCTGATGCTGATGGTCTTCTTGCTGTTCCTCCTCCCAGCCCTGCCGGATGGCGGGGGATGATGGAGATGAGGAGTCATGAGCCTCTGGGGCAGGAATGTCCCTATTAGGGCACAGCTGTCAGTGCTTGACAGCAGAAGGCTGGAGGAGGGCAGAAGAAAGCCATGGCCAGAGAGATGGTGGGTTGATTTATGAGGAAGCTCCCCCCTGCCCCAGCTCATTTTGGCTTCTTCCCCCAGACTCAAAGCCAGTTTGAATGTCACCCAGCAGCGCTGCCAGCATGGCCACGTGGCCCCTTGGCTCCCCTGCTATAAATAGCTTCTGCCTGTGCCAGGCCTCTGTGAGAGTGAGCGGTGATTAGAGGCATTGGGGAGCAAAAGTGGTGGGGCAGCCATCTCACCTGTACAACAGGGTGTCATGGGGCCAGCCAGCTCCCTGTGCTGTCAGCACACAGACTGCTCCTGAAATTCGGGGGGATGGTGGCAGGCACCCTGGTGATCAGGGACCTTGCTTGAGCAAAAGGGAGAGATGGAGAATGTAGGTGTTTTCTCCCTTCCACCAATCACACATCTTCAGACCTGTCCCAGAGCTCTCCAGGAGGAAAAACATTCCACCAACCACCACAGCATTGCTGCAACCTTGATGGCCCTGCAGCCACCTGTCCTGTCTTTAGGGGCAAATGCCACCATGGGAGGCAAAAGGGGTGCCTGTGTTACACAGAAAACAGGGGTGTCATTGCTCTTTCCTTGCTCTTTGCCAGTGCTTTGAAATGAAGGGAAGGCTGAACATTCAGGGCTTGTGCTTGCAATGGACACTGTCTGAAAGGGACAGATCAAGGGTTTGTGTTTGTATATCCATTGATTAGGCTGATAAGGCACTGATCTGGTTTGGCATCCCATCTGGTGGCTCAGGCCACCTCAGAGCACCTGAGAGCAGCTGGAGCCCCATATTTGCAATGAGAGATGGACATCTCTTGTGAGCTCTCTAGACATCTGCAAGTGAGTGGTGGTAAGAGAAGAGATTTTGTTTCCCATTATGGAGATCTTCCCTGACTGGACAAAAGGATGGAGCCTGTAGGATTATCAACTTTTTGGGACATTGTCAGCATGTCCCTGCTTGTTGGTAGTTGTGTACACCAGCAAGAGGTTCCTGAGAATCTTACCACTTGAGTCTTTGGCTGCTCTGTGACCTGAGAAAAACACAGCATGGTCAAGGGAACTTGTTCAGTCATGTCCAGTCCAGTCCAGTCCATACTTGATTTAGTTACTTACAGTTATGTCAGCCATGTGCCAAAGTCAGGGTAGTTTAAACCCAGTAGTTCTTGACTCCTGCACACAGGAGATGGTTAGAGTTTCTTGCAGGTGTTTGAAGGTCAGAAATATGCAGAAAAGCTGAAACACCTGCTCCAGACAAGTGGCTGGATGTGAGCAGGGATGTGTGCAAGAGAGGAGGCATTGATCAGGAGTCATGTATGTCAGCATGCAGCACACATAAGATAAATCTTTGGAGGGGTGTGGGTTCAGCTCTGTAGCTCTGAGCATGGAAGCTTGCTAGAAAAGAGAAAAAGTGTCAAGAAAATGTGGGTGATGTGATGGAAGACTCTTTGTCTGATTCTATGGGAGTGCTCAATAGTCAAAAATGGTCCCAGTAATGCTGGAGATGTGCCTGTTGGTGAGGCAGGGCTTGCGTGACTGTGTCCAAACGAAACTGTTTCCTGGAGAGTATGTATGGTGGGTGTCAGTGTTTGAGGGTGTTCCTCTGAGGAGGCTCATCCCCAGAGATGTGCAACAGTTTGGGAATATAGGAGAGTGCTTGTGTATGGTGTGTGAGTGTGCCTGAGGGGAAGCAGCTGGGAGCTCAGTGGGCAGCCTGCCTCCTCTGAGGGGATCTTCATGCCAATGAGACAAGAGGAGAACAGTACAGCCTGAGCTCCTCTCTACAGCAGGGTCTCACAACAGGGAGGTCTTTGTGCAACATGAGACTTTTGGGAGCCCTTCCCACTATGGCAGAGCCTGGGGGCAGGAGACTTTGCAGGGTGTTTATGGTGGCTTTTGCAAGTGCAAGCTACACAGGGGCTGGGCATTGCTTCTGTTCTTGCTTTCCCTGCTTTCCACTGCAGCAGGTGAGTCTAACCCATGCATAGGTGACAATATATTCCCACACCTACATTTGAACCCCAAAAGGCAGCAAAATATGGAGTATGCCAGAGGCACAGCAGTTTGGCCAACTGCCCCCTACTCATTACAGTATCAAGCATTTATATATCCCCTTACAGTATTTTTTGATTCCATAATGCTAGTGGGATTTGAATGCAGATAATGTTTCCAATCTTGACAATCCTCTTGGCTCAGGACCTTAGGACAGAGGCATCTGTAATCTAAGAGCACAGCCCCTCCTCCCGCCTTTAAATTCATATTGCTTGAAGTCTTGGCCAGCCAGAGCCCTTGCCTTTGTGTCAGCCTCTATCTCTATAGCATGTAATTTAGCTTCAACAGCTGCCTGGAGACATGGAGGGTAGAAACTGCCTTGGAAGAACTGGACATAACAGATCATGTAGTCCCTGAGGTAGAGCAGGAGCTTTGGGCTGTCAGAGTTGGCTGGGAGCATGAGCAAAGAGCCCAGTAGGTTATAAGTTCATGTCCCATGCACATTTTGCAGACTTATTCTCATGTACATGAAGTCTTGGCAATGCATACTTTCTACCCAGAGGATCCCAAGCTGTGCCCTGTGCAGCACTGGGAAAAGGAGGTGTGAGTTCGGCAGCATTCCTCCTTTCTGCCATATCCCTCAGGTAATAACCATGCTCGAATTTGGGTGAGCATGAGGGGGTGAATGGCCCTCTGGGATGTGTGAGAGGTCCACCCCAAAGTGAAGTTTGAGTACTACCAAGTATGCAAGAATCCTCTCATCCTGGATGGTGTCAACAGTTACAAGCACTCCAAAGAGTGGATATGGAAAGGCACAACTCCCTGCCCAACGTCTCAGCTTCACACCCACTATACCCATCTGAGCCTAGGCATGATGCTGGGAAGTTCTAGGAGATTTAAGAAGTCCCATTCTGAAATCCTGGGTTATACAACAGCAGAAATGTCACTGTCTGCCTGACCATTCTCCTATTTCAGCTGCAGGCAGCACTGATTGTGCCAAACCTTGCATTTGGTGTCAGTTTTGCTGCTAAACGACAGACAAAATCCTTCAGAGAGAGTTAAAAATGGGGGTGGGAGGGGTGTCTGGTCATGGTCAATTTTCATTGTGAAGTGACTTTATGGCATTCTGGCCTGGATTTTCTTCCCACTTCTCTAGCACCTGCCCAGAGCTCCCACAGACAATAAAACTCATCTTCCCCAGCTGCTCAGGCTGGGAGGAAGGGGGCTGGAGGCATTTGGGTGTGTCTGAAAGCAATCATGAGTATACTTCTCTTAACCGTGGGGAGCTTTCTGTTTTGCTATTTAGCCGTGGAGGAAGAACAAAACTCCAGCAATGCACGGAGAGGAGCAACAGGAGATGATGAGGAAAAGTGCCTCAAGCAATCTGCACTCCTCTGCTGCTTCTCTCCTACTCTCTTTAATGCTGATGGTCAGAACCTGGTTGATGAAGTGATGATTGTATATCCCACAACGTTAGGTTTTTATTTTCAGAAGCAGCAGGAGGAGATGGCAACTGTCTTAGTCTATTCCCCCAGATGTCCTTATGCAGGACTCCCACCTGCACACTATAACTGGCTACTTTGAGACACTGGGCAGTTTCTTGGAGAACAGAAGCTGTTCTTTCTCTTTCCTAATGCTGTCCCCACTAGCACTCCCTTGCATACCACACTAGTAATGTCTTAGGCTCTTCCATAGTTCAGGCTGTCCTGAAACACTGTGGTGATCAAAGAGCAGGGCTCAGAAGCCTGCTGAGCAGCTGCCACTAGAAAAGTCACCTTGCTGGCAGTGGGGACTGAAGGAGAGTATGTTGGTCCCACCTTACTACATTTCCACCACCTGAGCTGCTTGGAGAAGCTGAACCTCCCCTCCTAGG